GCCTCAGGGGGGTGTCCCGCCTTTTCCCGGGGGTACACGGGTGTCGAGGGACGCTCCAGCTGCTCTGGCATCTCTCTCAAAGCCGCTAAACCGGCAGAGCAGCCGCGTCTTAGGGACCTGCACTAATGTAATCGGTCTTTATTTGACCTTAATATTAGTTGAGGGCAGGTGCAGTATTTGCATAATCGTTCATTCAGCTCGGTGTTAATTACTGTGCCTGAAGTGCCCCGCTAATGAGATAACGGCGTGACGACTTCAAGAAGGGAGTGGGAGGAAAACAGGTGTAAAATTAATGAAAGCAAGAGCAGGGCCCACATCAAAGCCTGCTCTGTCTGCCAGAATGAACTGCCTTAGCATTGGGTTCTCAGTATTCTGATTTATTGCAAGCTTGTGACTACGGTTAACAAATAACGTGCCTTCTATCAGCATGCAATAAAATCGACAACCTACACCTAGAAAAACATTAAAGAATTTTCAACTCGTTTGTGTAATGTTAATAGTACCTTTCTGCCGAGTTGCATGTCGTGCTTCTTCCCAAAACAACCTGTAGATACACTCAGCAGTGCTGTGAGAGTAAAGGTTTTGTTATCAACCCTTGCTGAAAGTCTTCTGTGGGGAAAAAGCTCTTGGGAAAGTTGTGTGGGTTTGTATGCTATGTGCGTAATCTCTTGGCTAAGTATAAACCATGGAAACATGGGGTTTTTTTCAGAAAATTTGATGGCTTGTGGCTATGTTTGCATTCCAGTCTCTTCTCTTAGTTCCTGTCTATGCAGTGACTTAACTGAGTGAATTAAGATGCTTGTCATTTTTCAAGAAAAAAATTAAGATCTTGCAGAAAGAAATTTAGTGTAATTTGGTTTCTGGAAGTCTGTTCCATATATTTTAAGTTTGCAAAAAGCCTTTTCATAATAAGTACATAAAACGCAGAAGTAGGAAAACTTTATTTTAACTTAACAAAAATTTAAAATTGAATTGACTTAGTCTATTTTCAGCTGCTGTAACAGAGCAGATAAACTGAGTTCCAACAGATGCAACTAATCTTCAATAGTTTTTTTTAAATAGCATAGTTTATTCAGCAAGTACCTATTTTATTCTTCCTAGAACAGTTATTCAAAGTAAAAAAATATTACATCAGGTTTATTGTTTTTTCATGCAAATCACTTTCTCTAGGTTTTTGAAGTGTGTGGTGGAGATAACAAAGGCTATATAAGCAGAGAGGACTTTAAAGTTGCTGTAGTAATGTTGTTTGTTTATTAACCCTCAAAGCTATATATTTTTCATTTATATTTTGAAGATCCAGCTTATATATATGTCTTGCTATTGAGAACTCTGCTTACTGACTGGTCCCACACTGATTGGAGTGGATTACTGTAGGTTTGGTAAAAAGAAATACAGATTCTGAAAGTAATTTTCTTATCTGAGGGTATATATTTCAAAATAAAATAATGAAACCCCTACCTTTCCTACTGTAGACCATGATGAGCAGCAGGATGTATTGTATTTCACATGTGTACAAGACCTATGAAATAAGTGACTTACTGAGCTTGTTATTGGTCAGTTATTGTTGGGGGTTTTTTGGTGGTACACTCCATTTCCTTACTCAGTGGTTTCAGTAGATGTGAAACTACCATGTGTCCTAATACTAAACATATATTCTCTAAAATATAGCTTGATTTTTTAATTTCATGTATCAGTTGGGCATTTTTAGTCTTGATTCTCAAATATAAATCTATAGCTGTACAAAAATTGTAACAAATGAAAGGTTTATTGAGACGAATCGTGCTGCATGGGAACATAGGAAGATACAGGATAAATTGTATGGCTTAGTGCAGTTCTGAAAGTTATGTTTCTACTCTAGTAGTGCAAGTGATCTCAAAAAAAACAACACGTGCAAGATTTCAAAATAAATACATGTGTGACTATGACTTTGTCTTTCTCGTGGCATGTTGGTACAAGCTTGACCAATACTGTAAGGTATATTTAGCATAGAAAGTAGGATTCATCTCTCTTCTTCACTTTTGAGCAATCTTATTCCCCAAGAACCATTTGTGCATTTTTTTTTTTCTTAAATACCTATTTTAGGAAAATAGTTTTAACAAGGTCATAAACAAAATTTTGTCTCTGGTAGTTTAAAGTAAAACCCGAAGAATTGTTTCATTAAACTGTGAAAATAGTCATCTCATACATTTCAGCTGTGGGTAAAGAGTTTCCCAATGAGCTGGGGACATGTCTAAAAATAATTTAGACTTCTAAAATGAGTCTTAACTGCTGAATTATGAATCTGAAAATGCTCAGCTGCCCCTTATCTATTTTCTCCTATTTTTTCCTCCAAATAAAAATTAGCTGTTCTTTTAAATTCCCTGAATGCTTCTTCTAGTAGGAGTTTTCAAAACGTGCTTAAGGCATTCAAATTCGAGCAGATTCTGTGCATAAGTCACCGATGGCTTCTTCTTGGAAAGAGAATAGAAGCAGAGGACTCCTGGGAAGAAAGGAGGTGAAGGTTTAGTTATTTCTTCCTGAGAAGGTGCCAAGTCACACCTGCTGTGTCTCTAGGCAGTGCTGCGACCACCTGGATGTAGACCGTTTTGTCTGTGCAGCTGCACAAAAATTAATTAAAAACACTTGTCCCAGGAGTGATTCTGCTGTCTAGTGGTCCTGCCAGCTCCTTAAGTGGGCCTAATTGCAGCAACTGTTGCTCTTTACCCAGTGACTGCTCGTTGGGAAGTACTAGAAGATCCCTGGGTAGACAGATACTTTTTTTGTGGCTTTTGCTAACACGCAGTAAATACGGTTTATGGCACAGCCACGCTTTTTGCTTTTGCTGGTGGCTAGGCCTTGTAATTGTTCCTTTCAACATTTTGGTAGTTTTTATTCTAGTTATGAGAAACACATCTTTCTCTGTGCACCATATAGGAACCAAACGCAGAGGTTACAGTCCTAAGAGTTGATTGTTAGGATCCAGTTATTGTACATTTTACTTTGTCGTCAAAATGATTAAAATGAGAGACTGTTGTAGCACCCCTTGTATGTCTTCAGAAGTCACTAGGAACAGCCCTGACAAGGAGAGTGCTTTGAAGAGATTTCGCAAGAAACAGGGAATGGTACGCATGCATTACCTCTGAAGTTAAGGTGAAACTGTTTCCTCAGCTGCACTGCATACTACAATTTTTTTTTCAGTAGAAATGGCAATTGCTTACCATCATCAACTGAAATAAAGAAACTGCGTTTTTAGGAAACTGTTGCTGCATTATTTTTTTTTTTTTTTTTTTGGTCAGGTTTTAATTTATTCTATAAATTAAAAGTAATACTAACTTTACACAGTAGATGTCACTAACGAACTCTTTACTGGAGAAGGTGGGCCCTAAGAATTTAAATCACATTCCTACTCCACTTGCTTTTTCAAAACAACTTTTTGTAACGGTCCTATATTATTTTTTATAAAATAATATTTTTGTGTGGCTATTCATAGAGATTCTGGATTTAATACTGTTTAAAATTAAGCCTTCAGAGACAACTAAATAGGAAAACATGAAAATAGAAAGAAATTAACCTGGTTGTTGGACTGATACTGTATGTATATTTGATATACTAGCATATAAAAATCATAATTTCTGTGAACTAGCTGCATTGTGGGAATCACGTTTGTGGGACTTAAACTTTTTCTCTGAAAGTTTGATTCAGAGATCCTCTTTTCCCCAAAATTATTTGAAATTATCTGAAATGCTGTTGTATTTTAACAACCAATCAGCTGGCTAACTGCACACTCAGGAGTTAAGTGTATCAAATGAAAAGCGTACTGTGGGAATAGTAGTCATGAAAATATGTTGTTTCGCCAGCTGAAGTTTCATTCCTGGTACTGTTACTACGCTGTGCCTAGGAGGCCAGGCACCACAAATATCCAGTGTTTTCCCTGACCCAATTCTGTACCTTCACACTGGGACACTGGCAGGTCAGTATCTGCTGCTGAACAAGAATCATACAATCATGGAACTGTAGGATGGTCTGGGTTGGAAGGAACCTTAAAGATCATCTGGTTCCAACCCCCATGCTGTGGACAGCTTTGCCAACCACTAGATCAGGCTGCCCAGGGCCACGTCCAACCTGGCCTTGAATGCCTCCAGGGATGGGGCATCCACAACTTCTCTGGGCAACCTGTCCCAGTGCCTCACCACCCTCTGGGTGAATAATTTCCTCCTAATATTTAACCTAAATCTACCCTTTCTTAGTTTAAAACCATTTCCCCTTGGCCAACAGCAAGACACCCTGACATGCAGAGTTCAGAAGGGCAGTCTGAGCTCAGGGCTGCTTCCAGCTGCTCTTCTGGCACATCTTATCAAAGCTTTCTGAAAAGGACTCCCTAGTCTATTTGTATGCCTGACACAGTCTATGTGAAAAGTGTTGCAGGCCAAATGGAATATATAGTCTTAGGTTAACTGGTCATGGCGTTGGCTTGTCCATTCTCCAGAATCGAGTATGCTTAGGTTGCCTAGAAGCTGCTAACCTGTCATCTCCTCTCATGTGGGTTGTCCCAGTGCCACAACTATGTGCGGTTTTGTATTCTAATAACGTTGGTGCCAGAGTTTGGACTCATGAGCACTCAGTCATGCTAAAAAGCAGTATAAATACAGCCCAAAGGGAACCTTGGTGCTTTCTTGGATATACTCTCCCTTTCTGTTCCTTACATTGTTAAAAGATCTTTTCCAGTGATCTCTTGGCTGCCCCCTAGTTCAGTTCTGAAAAGTCAGGTGTTTTTGTTTTCATCGTGTCGTTTAGCTTTTTGCTTTTGTTCTATAATGAATCTTGGTAACACATGAATATTAGTGAATCTTGGTAACATGCTAATAAACATGGAATTGTCAGTCCTGTGTTCCTATCAGTTAAAATTGTGAGATAGGATCCTATAGAAAGACAGTGAAGAAGATACATAGTACATAAAATGCGACAGTAGTGGATTGATTTCAGGATAGTTGTAGAAACTGGATGATGCAAACTGATTTTTAAAGTTTCCTCTTTTTAAAATTTTCTACCTTTTTATTAAGGTTTTTAATTTAGATAGATGTATCAAATAATTTTTGGTCAAACTAGGTTTCGGGAAATAGTTGGTCTCCATTCTCAATATTGAAACAGAAAGTTCTTTCATTATTTAAAAGAAATAACAAATTTGGGTGCTGATACCTAAAAAGTTAATTTTTACTATTAGACTTCCTGTAGTTGAACTCTAATCTGTATAAAGTTAAGCATGTTTGTTTAAGTATACTTAGTTTAAGATTTGGATATTGATTAGGACATATTAAGCATACATATATGCTTAGTTTACTGGATGAAAAAGAGGTAATTTTATTTTAATGATAATGAAATATTTTCTTACTTAAATACCATAGATGATACTGTTGTGTAATATGTATTATTATGAGATCAATACTTAGTGGAATCACACACCATTGATATAAAATGGAAATCGTACAGGAGTTCAGATTTATCACTTCTGAGAAAACCACTGTGGCTTATCTTCTGTGTTCCAGTTAAAGGTGGATTCAGTAATGCCTTCTGTGAGACCATGACATTCAGGTAATATGCAAACATCTGTCAGTCAGTGATTTCTACTCCTTTTTCATTCATAAATTTAAAAAAATCTGAAGCTTAGGCCCTCCAGATTTTTGAAGAACCCAATGTAGATTAATGATAATGTGTGTAATTGTATGAGACTCAACAAGGCTCAGTGCTGGGTCCTACACTTGGGTCACAACAACCCCATACGACGCTACAGGCTTGGGAAAAACAACCCCATGCAACGCTACAGGCGTGGGGAGGAGTGACTGGAAAGCTGCCCAGAAGAAAAGGACCTGGGAGTGTTGGTCAACAGCCAGATGAACATGAGCCAGCAGTGTGACCCAGGTGGTCAAGAAGGCCAGTGGCATCCTGGCCTGTATCAGAAATAGTGTGGCCAGCAGGACCAGGCAAGTGATCATCCCCCTGTACTTGGCACTGGTGAGGCTGCACCTTGAGTCCTGTGCTCAGTTTTGGGCCCCTCTACTACAAGAAGGACATGGCGATGCTGGAGCGTGTCCAGAGAAGGGCAACGAAGCTGGTGAAGGGTCTGGAGCACAAGTCTTATGAGGAGCGGCTGGGGGAACTGGGGTTGTTTAATCTGCAGAAGAGGAGGCTGAGGGGAGACGTTATTGCTCTCTACAACTACCTGAAAGGACGGTGTAGAGAGGTGGGGGTTGGTCTGTTTTCCCAAGTAACAAGTGATAGAACAAGAGGAAATGGCCTGAAGTTGCACCAGGGAGGTTTAGATTGGATATTAGGAAAAATTTCTTCAGCAAAAGGGTTGTCAAGCATTGGAACAGGCTGCCCAGGGAAGTGATTGAGTCACCATCTCTGGAGGTGCTTAAAAGACGTGTAGATGTGGCGCTTAAGAACATGGTTTAGTGGTGGACTTGGTAGTGTTAGGTTAACAGTTGAACTTGATGATCTTAAAGGTCTTTTCCAAGCTATGATTCAATTCTATGATTCTATAAATGAGCTGGCCATAGCTATTAAAGAGGACCATATAATTTCATTTAGTTTTGTAATATTTTTAGTGCTTGTATGTTACACTTAGTTTAAACATTCTTGCTTCTCAAAGTGGCATTTCTTAATGGCAACATTTTATATATTAGTGATTGAGAAAAGTAATTAGTAATTTTTGGTGTTCAAGTTGGTAAGTGATGGAAGAGGTTCTATCAGGTTTTTGGTACTGTTCCACTGTTTACTTGGGCAAATACTGGGCTCTTACATCACAATTTAATAAATACCTATTTCTGTAACAACCCTTCCATTTATGTAGTTCTGCTTGGGTTTTTTTCCCTTGTCCTTGACCTCATCAATTATGTCCATGCATCTGTTTGTGGGGTCATGTGGCAAGTCTTGTTGGAGAAATGATTCATATGAAAAATGAAGTGGCAGCAAATGTGGTTACTTTTATCAATAAGTTCCCTCATCTCTTTTGCCACATGGCCCCACATGTATTTGTATCAATACATTTGAAGGGTGTTGTGGAGGCTGGTTCTGTTTATTCTAGCATTGATGCCAAAGCCCACGTTCATTAAACCACACTCTTACTTGTAAATCTTTAGTTTAGGCAACAAATACAGAATAAAGATTTTACTCAGATTTTTTTCCAAGAGAACAACTGCATATGAATGCCTGAATGAGAAATGCTGAACTAAAATATAAAGATATATTATGGATTTGTTAATACCTAATTGGCTTGAATATTTTTTTAAGATAACCTTTTTTGTGTGTAGAGATAGGTTTGCAGCCTGTTTTGTGACACATAAATTGCCAAGTCTCAAGATCAATGAATAGGCGGCACTCTATTATAGGAGTGATTCTGTAAAAGGAAAATTGTATACTATAATTTTCTGGGCTCGTATGTTACTCTGAAAGAGAAAAACTAAATGGATGGAAAGCTTATATTGCTTTTTATGTTTTCACTTCCATAGTTATCCAATTGAATGGAAAGATGTTCATGCAGGCAAGTTCAGTATGTTTAGGCAACCTCTGTTATTAAAGAAATTGTGCATGTACAGAACCTAGCAGTTGAAAGCAGCACGTCTTTGTAATCCTGGAAATGGAGACTGTAACAGTTCTTAATATATGCTTTTCCAAGAAGAAGTAAGGAAAGAAGAAGCAGAAATCTGTAAGCTTGGAGTTTAAGATTTCAATTGAGACAGCAGGTGGAGCTGGAGGAGCTGTGCTTTTGAACCACTGCAGAAAGAACAGGATATGAATGAATCAAAAGAAAGAGAAGTGCAGAGCTTTTGTTATGTTATTTGATAAAGAAAAATTCCTACAGGATACAGTCGTGTTGCCTTCTAAGGAAAATTAAATTGTTTAAAATGAGCATGATGCATGTTAGAAAGCTGTGAGAAGAGAATATTTGTTTGAGTATTGAACAGAAGTGTGATTTTTTTTGCCAAAAAAATGTATATATCTGCAGAATTTTTGTATCAAGATTTTTGTGTTTTTCATGGGGAGGCCTGAAGTTCTGAGGAGCAGATTTTTGTTTCTTAATTTTTATGTTTTACTTTGATTTTAGAGAAATGATCAATTAAGCACTTACAAACTAGGTTTGCATTTCAATTTCTTTCATTTTCAGTTCATTAAAAGGGTAAGATAAATGTACAAGACTTCCATGCAGTATACGGGAGGAATAACCAGGCCAGTTTTGCATTCAATTTTATTATGAATTTCATAGGAATCTATATCTGAGCTTATAGATTATTTCATAGTTTGCTCACTGCTGGGAATGATGCCAGATAGATTCTTTATGCAGCATGGATCTTCATCCATGGCATGCAAGTGCTATTGACTTAGAAAAGTCCGTGTTTCTCTCCAGTGCAAAGAAAGATGAGATGACAGGTAACCAGAAGAAAAAGTAGAAGTAAACACAAGCATTATACTCAAGTATAGAAAATAGATGAGAAAATTTAAACAATATTGAAATGTTTGCATGATCATGGTCTAACCTTGAAGACTATTATTTCAGTTTTATTTTTGTGTTTATTTATATAATTAAAGTTACTTATAATTTTTAGACCACAGTGGTACATATTTTTAAGGAGAAAAACAAAACTGACTTTTTTCAGGGAAATTTATTTATATTTTACATTTTTATAGGTCTGTTATTTGAAAAGTTTTTAAATCTCATGAGTGCAAAGAAGGCTACATTGTTAAACAGTAATGAAACACGGCAAATATTTAGAGCTTTTGTTGTGCAAGGTAAGTTTTGTCTCCTAAATATTTGGAGTATTAATTTAATTCTAAAATAATGAAGTAAAACAGAACACCTGAAGGAAATAAAAAGAAATTAAGATGAGATGCCCTAGATTCTGCAAAGTTCACTAAAACAGTACCAGAATGACAAAGATCATGATGCTATTGCTATACCTGAAGTCTGGGTCAGTAGGCTGTGGCATTCTAGATGGTAGCTTTGGACTGTCTGCTGTACTATGAACTCCTCCAGCTGTTAAAAGAAATCTCTAGCCATTCACCATACCTGCTTGCTGTTACTACCTCTCATTATTTCTTTGTTACTCATACCAACATATCTCCACTCACTTACTTATGCCACATATTTTATGGATTTCTGTCCTCGGTGATGGGTATAGGTATTTTTTACTTCGCATGATAGACCACGGAAGGAAAACCAAAGCAACAAAGATTTTTTTTCTCACTCTTCTTGGGAAGTAGATGTGGTGATTCTTCTTCATTTCTGCTAGATAGCAGAGGATCTCCCATCACCAAACTGAAAAAAAGGAGGACCTCCTCAGGAGCCTTTGATCTAATGGGCGTTCAGATGATCCTTTGCCTTTTTTTTTTCCTGACCTGAGATAGGATTACGATCCTTGAAAAGAAGGAAGGTAAAACGTATGGCAGATCAGATGTTGGGATGATCAGATGAGCATCCACTCAGCTTTTTGCTGCAAACTAAAAGTAGCTTTTGAAGTGTTATTTTTAGTGAGTTATTTCAAAGGACTTAGCTGTTGCAAGCACTGTGCCTTTGTCTTGCTATCTGCTGCACGCAATTGGTGATAGACCTGTTTGAGATGCTTTATTTTCCAGTTGGCTCTGAAAGTGAATGCATAACCTAAGTGATTGACCAGTTGGTATCACTGTGTTATAATGTATTCAGGATCTTAAGTCTGCAGCAGGATTAAACTGAATATCCTAAAATATTTCGTGAATATAGTAACATAAAGATTGTGTAATAATTTCAGAAATGTGAATTGATAAGCTCACAGCCAAATATAATTTTATTAAGTAGTTTAAAAAAACTCTCAACTTATATTATTTTTCTCTTTCCTAATTTTGATTTAAAAGATAGGGGATTTTTCACTTTTGAGGACTTCAAGAAAGCCTTCAATTCTTTTTCTCCGAAGTTATCTGAAAGAATCGTAGTTGAAGAACTGAGATCATTATTCCTGGATAGCAGACTTTTTGTTGTTTATATTTCAGTTAATTGAAATGATTAGATTCTATCTTGCAACTGAAGGTATAAGCTTCAGCACATTGCTGTTTCAGTGGCTTTAATAATAAATATAAATAGTATGTGTAAATAATATAATAATTAATATAAACTGTATGAATAGAAAGAATAAAAATAATAACTGTCATTAAAAGAATACATTTTACCAGACACAGAAAGTAATTTGTTGTCTGTACTGTTTCTTAAGAAGCCTAAAATGATTTACTTTTACATTTTCCTCCTGTAATCAGGAAATCTTAATTCAAGAGCAGTCTCTTGAAAAATTCAGTTATACTGTAGTGCATATTGTGAGGCAGTAGTGGTAAGATTTCTTGCAAGGTGAGACTGGCTCAGAAGTGAAAGGATAAAATTTTGAGAGTAATTTTCAGATCATAAAAAAATTGATCTAATCTCTGTAGTTGCCAGTAAAATTATTTAAAAAATATTTTGGAAAACATTGCATTGCAAAGAGTAAAACTTTCTTTTTGTGACGTGAATGATTTGTCTGGAAGTAACTCACTCATTGAGAGAAGTCCTTTGCTTTTGAAGACATGGCATCAGGTAGCTTGCTGAGCACCATCTTTAAAAGATGGGGTTGGATTATAGGTTGTTTTTCTTTTTGCAGTTATCTGGAATCATGGTACAAAGCATTAGAGCAGAGCAGGAATTGGTCTGTACAGCTTTCAAGCCACTGGCATGTAATAACAAAGTCTAGAGTGTCTAATGTTTTAGACGATACTCTTGTGTCTTTTGCATTAAAGAGGTAATATATTTTGAGGAGAATAATTATTTTAAGGTTTGAGAAGTTATATGCTATATTTTTCCTGATATCTAAGAGATTTTGCTATCTCTTTTTGGTATATTGTCAAGAAATGAATAGGAAAATGTAGGTAGAATAGCTTGAGGTGTTATCCTTTTAAAATATTTTGTTTTAAGGACTTCTATGGAGGACCTAATGTCCAATTTTTCTATCCAGTGATTAATATATTTGTCTTGAATATTAATGCTTTTTAGGTCAGAAAAGCATATGTACTTGCTGTTCATACTATTTTATTTTGCATTTTTACACATTTTTTTAAATTACCTTTCTCATTTGAAAAATTCTCAAATAAATTCGCTTGGCTTTAAATTGTAAAATGGTTCTGAAACTTTTGACTCATCTTTCTGTCAAGGAAACTCCCCAATTTTGAATTTAAATTATAATCATGATGAATTTATAAATGAAGGAAAGTTTAACCAAATGTTACGGTATACTCTGTATCTAGTAAAGAAGGCATGTCATGATCAACAGTAGCTCTAATGTTAGCAATTATCACAGTCCAACAAATGAAACTTGTGATTGCATATTTATGAACAAAGTATGGAACCTGAAGAGAAGCAGAAAAAAATATTTTTCAATAAGAAATTTGCATATTTCTTTGGCTGCTCTTGAAAGAAACTGCACAATAGTATTGTGCAATACAAATGCAGACTGAATAGGCCAAATCTGCATGGAACTCTTCAGAATTGTAATCTGAAATTAGAATCCTTCCAAATCCTCTTTTAGGTATACATCCTTTTTGGATATTTCTTTTAACTCTCGGTGTGTGTGTTGAACTTTATGTAGGGAAAAGACTCTTGTCCTAGATTGAGCTATAGAACTGGATTAAAACTGTATGAAAAGATAGCCAGAGGAAATATTTTGGACATAGAAATTTGTCAGAAGTTTCAGTGTTTTTGTGGCACAAAATTTGTATTACAATGGATTGCTAAAATGAACAAAGGGTATATAATTTCATATTTGTAGATATGTTTCTTGTTCTTCCCGCTTTGTAGTACAGGGATCAGAATTAAGTTTTGGGACTGAACATAGTTTTAAAATATGTCTTTTTTATTATGTAAAATATTTTACAATACATATGCATGTACGGTGTTTAGCATCTTCAGGTGTGATGACTCTGATCAAGTTTTAGTCCGTAAAATAGATCTATATTAGCAATTAATGCAGCACAGGGATCAGGTCTGTAGAGGAAGAAGTTTATGCTGAGGACCCAGTATCTGTATGACATTTGTTGAGGCAGTTACTTGGACTAATACTAGTCTGGAGAGCAGACTGAATGTTATCACTGGAAATTGGAGTGCTTTGGGTGCATGCCAGGACCACATCTTTCAGTTTAATTTCATCTGGAAGGAATGCAGTTGGTAGATCGTGATCACTCTGTGGTGTTAACCATAGTACAATCAGTGGGGAAAACTGGGAGATTCAACTCAAAAGAGAACTCCAAATCTTAAGTAAAATATATTAAGACAAGGGGGAAAAAGCTTAATTGGTGTATTTCAGAGCTTTGTGAAATTGTTATATGAAAAGGTTTTTTTATGCTTATAAATAAAATTTTCACTTTGCTGGAAATGCTCTCTCCAAACCATGTCAGGTACTGATAGGTACCTTTAATTTGGAAGGTTGCATGTACTATTTTCTTATACTTTAAATGAAGTAAAATGTTACAGAATAAGCTAAGTCTATGGTTAGTGTCACCAGGGATAAAAGGAAAGGGAAGAAAAGGAGGAAAAAAAGTTAAAGGCACATACATAATACTTAGCTTCTCTACTTACCATACACAGCGGGGAATTATTTTCTGCTATAGAATGTAATTCTCAACCTATTCTTCAACATAAAAATGAAAACAGGGGTATTCGAGCTATGAAGATCACAAGGAAGGGAGACTATCAGTAATTGATTTGCATTAAGAATGAAGGACTCCACTGAAGTAATTTAGCTTTCAGATCAAATAGACTTGATTTGTAAGTGTGCACAATGCTCTTAATGAGGCATCCACACATGTTGAATTGATTTTAACGAACTCAAGGCTTGACAATGGAATTACTGTATTTATCATTCTTATATTTTATTAATATTAAAATAGTCTTAACTTGTTTAATACAATATAGTAGGAAGCTAAAGAATAAGAGATTATTTTTCTAACCTACCTGTACATTAACTAGTATGTTCAAAGTCTTGTTATGGCTACAAAGGAGACACACCTGATACATAAAGCCAAAATTTATTGTTACTGTATGGAAATCTTATCAGTCTAATCAAAGAATTAATATTAGGACAGGTTTAATAATTACAAAAATAAATAAAGAAAAATAAAATAAAGAGTACTATGCTACAAAGAGTCTCAATGCAGTTAAATATGTTATAATCCTCCTAACCTCTACCCTTTTTACTGTTGTTTTTCTCAATCTTCAACTGTCCTTCTTGGTCCTGATGCCAGCAAATTCAAGGCAGGCATGGTAGGGTGAATTGCCATTATCCTGACTTCTTCAGTAGTAGGTGTATGATATTCACATTGATGTTTTCTTCTCTCTCACTCTAGCATCCCCTTTTGTCATTTTTACATGTTTTCCAACACAGTTTACACCTTCTTCTTTCTTCATTGATCTGTAGGCCTATGTTGCATCCAAATCTACTGTATATAGCATGGACTACATATTTTAGATATGTTCATTGCTCTCTCTGTCATCTGTAAAACCACTTTTGTCCACCTCCTGTGTCTGCATTTCTTTAACCATCGGTGAGTTGTTTAGTCTTGGTTCTTCAGTGTTAGTCTGTGGTCTCTATCTTCATATCCCATGCCTGTCCTGCTCTATTCTATATGTTCTACTATCGTGCCACATCTGTATTTCTTTGCATCATTATCTTAGACTCATAAATATTTCATTTTACATAGAAGAAATCCTCATTACTACTGTCTCTATAAAGCTATATTTATACTGTATAAAGATAAGAAGAACAAACTAGGCATAACCACCTTAAAAGAACTGCAATTACAGATAAAGCAAGTAAAAGACAGATAAAGCAAGTAAAAGCTCCAGGCAGGTCAAGCAAATTCAGACAAAGTCTGACAGGGCTCAGTCCTCAGGCCTTGCAAACTCAGTACAGAGTTTGTGGCCTGTTACTGGCAATGGCTGTACTGTATTTACTGGAATACAGGGCTATGAAACACAGTTAATATCACTGCTTTACTTTAACATTGTATATTCTTCTACAAATGTATAAAGATGTAGTGAATTAATTTGTATTGGTACTAGAGCTTCAGGATGGGGTGGTGTTAAATGCTCTATTTTATGAAAGGAAAAAGACATCTCATCCATCAGTATTTCTAAGTATAGCAAGTGGGTAGTTTGGTTTTGTTTGGCTTTTTATTTTTTATTCCATGAGAATAGGATCAATCATAAATATATTTTCATCTCATACTGATAAAAAATATTTAAAGTAGTTATTCTTTCTTCTGAGGGATTATTTTCTTACAAATGTCAGTAATATACTGCACTTAGCTGTTGCTAAAGTTTGGAAGATGTGGTCGAGTTTTCAGTTTATATTTGATTGGATTAACTGACCATAATCTTGCCTGAACAGTAGTGTAACATTTATTGTTTCTGAGCTAATATTGCAGTCATACTGAACAAAATGCTCAGGTGCTTATCGTGCACCTGGTGTGCACCTGATTAAAATGCCATTTTACCATTCTTGACACAGGAGTTGCAGAAGCACCTGCTAAAGTAAATGGTGTGATGATATGTTCTTTCATGATGAGGCTCTTTTTAATAGGTGACACAGACAAGTATTTCTTTATAATAATGCTGCTGTTCTGCATGTAGCTACATGGATATGAAATGTGACAAGTCCTTTGCAATAATAATTTGTGATAAATGGCTCTCTGTAAGTGAACACGTCTTTTAAAGTGGGATTCAAATTCTTAAAAAAATATTTCAAGTACTGTTTTTCTTTTTTGTTGTGAATATGTCATATTTGAATTATACAATATTATTAATTACTGCTGCTGAGAAAATATTTGTCTTAGCTGTGCCATTTGTTTGGAAAAAAATAGGTTATTTATATGCTAAATCCCTGGACCATGATAATGGAAATAGTAATGAAAATAAGCTGAAAACCAATCACATGTGAATGTGAGTGAACCTATAAATGATGAAAAATGTCTTACAAACCAAAAG